ACGTATATATACATATACATATATATATACATATATATATATATATAAATATCACGTTACTTGCTATTCTCTCAATGCTCGAGATATCCGTACAATTGCGGTAGGATGTAAGTTCTTGTTTGTCGAATGCTATAGTGTACATTATACCAGATAGGCTGTACATAGGAACAGACAATGGGTTTAGCACTCCACAAACGGTTATATAGATTACTTTGTAAAATTGTGTCTGGTAAGTTCTGATAAATATTGAATTGCCTGTATCCCCGTGGTCAAATCCATTGTAGTCAACAGATCACAAAGTAGGCCACGGATAAGCCACCAATCGTGAATAGCATCAGTCACACGTCAGGTCACAGACTGCACACAAACAACTTACATTTTGTGCTGTATACAGGAGAAAAGAATGCAGCCGACCAAGAAAACCAAGTGCTGGTTACAGGAAGTGGCGAATGTCTTGTGGCGTGACATGGCCCGAGGTGAGTGAATGAATGAGTGAGTGAGTGAATGAATGAGTGAGTGAGTGAGTGAGTGAGTGAGTGAGTGAGTGAGTGAGTGTGTGCACTGGTTAAGCGGTATCCACACTATGCACACAGTGTGGTGGAGAGTTACTGGGGTACAATGTATTGCTTCTATATGTACCATTACCCCTTTTGTCAACATCAAGGAATCGGTTGTGCTACATCTGGGCCAAGTGGGGCTGATCTCACACAGTTGTAACACCTGATATATCCGCACATAGCGTTGAGAATATGTGATGATCTGCTGTACTGCCTAGTACGATGTCGTATACACATACGTGAATGGATGAATGAATGTTCAGCGACGCACTTTTGACAGTACCTTTGCCCAGCTCTGAAGTCAAGTCATACACTCCTCAAGTAGCGCCGTTGTGTGTTCTATATACACACAAATTTGAATTAAACAACCCGATTCTCAACTTTATGCGCTTGAACTTTTAGGTACCAAAGAGTATCAAAATAGGACGTATACCAACTGCTTTGCTGGGAAAGATGCAGTCACGTGGATGATGTCAAACCTTGCGGTATGTCTATGGTCTTTCATACTCTCTGTAGTTCGGTACCTAGGGCTGTGTGATCTAGAGTGTATGAACTGATATGAACTTTAATTCGTAAAGTGAACGGATGATTGAGAAATCAGAGACCATAACGATAGTGATCGACAGTATCATCATGAACGGATACAATATAATACTGCATATTCATTCTATTCACACAAATGAGATACCAGGCTTTCGCTTTCCACGCTTACACACACTTGTTGCACCTCGTGTCTTGCACACTTTCAGGGGGTTGTGAATAGTCGCAAGGATGCTGTAGTGCTTGGGCAGCGTATGGTGGGCGACAGTATCATCATGCACGTGCATGCAGAGCATGGGTTTCGAGACAAGAACCTCTTCTACATCTTTGCGGACGATGTGAGACAGTACGCAAAGCTGGATGTACCACTCAATGGTAAGTGACCGCCGTGGTAGGAGTCTGTTGGTGCAATCATTAGACACTACATACCACCAACAACTACAGTTTGCGAGGATACAAGTGCGTGCCCTAACTCTAAAGCCTGTACACTTAACCCTACATACACCAAACTCAAAACACTCAATGGTAAGTGACCGCCGTGGTAGAAGTCTATTGGTGCAATCATTAGACACTACATACCACCAGCAACAACATTTTGCGAGGATACAAGTGCGTGCCCTAACTCTAAACCCTGTACACTCAACCCTACATACACCAAACCCAAAACACTCAACGGTAGGTGACCGCCGTTGTCTGATTTGTCGGTACATTTGTTGCATGCTGCATGACATCAATAACGACAGTTCGCGAGGATACGAGTACGTTGAAGTATACTTAAACCCTAAACCCCTCAACCCTAAACACTACAGTCATCCCATACATATATCATGTCTAGGGTGAGGTCGGAGCATATCTCACGGCGCTGACCATCTCAGGTGTCTTGTTTGCTCATGTATGTGGTCTTGGATACTTCTCGTGGTGTTGTTCTTCACATATTGTTTTCCTGGTAAGTTATTTATGTACCTTGTTTATTGCTTGTCTATCCTCACCCCATGCCTACCCGTTCACAGTCAGAACCGCATGGCCCTACGGGACGCTGAGTAGAGAGGCAAACGACGTCGTCGCTGAACTGTTGGGCGAGATAATGGACATCTACCAGATCTATGTGGGGCATGACGGACCATTGACTGAATGCAGTTTGCAAGAGATTAGAGGCAGCTTACAGTATGTATGGGTGTGAGTATGGTTGCATGTGTGTATGTGTGTGTGTATGTTTGTATGTGTGTGTGTGTATGGTGGTGGTGGTGCTTGTGTGTATGAATGTGTATGTATATGGGTGTGTGAAAGGGTGTGTGTGTGTTTATGAGTGTGTGTATGAGTGTGTGTATGGGTGTGTGCATGGTGGTATGTGCGTGCTTATGGGTGTGTGTATGAGTGTGGGCATGGTTGTATGTATGTGTGTATGGGTGTGTGCATGGTGGTATGTGTGTGTTTATGGGTGTGTGTATGAGTGTGTGCATGGTTGTATGTGTGGGTGTATATAGGTGCATTGGTTAACCAAGTAGTAGAAATGTGGCTTATATCTACTAGACGTATGTGGGGCCACGATGGTCCATTGACTAAACGCAGTCCATTAGAGATCTGAGGCAGCCTGCAGCAGCTATGTGTATTACCCGATAGCCTTCACACACTCGACATGCATGTGTTTGACTGACGTCTCACGTACTTATTAAATGGCGAGCGCTTACTATAGACACTTTAGAAGTGATAATCACCGGAATCACGACCAACATGTCTTACGAGGCTGAGCTAACCCCATTCATGGATATGTATAGTACTCAAGGTCAAAGCTCCATTCCCAAATACGTATAGTACTCTCTGTGGAATCAAGATCAAAATGTCTCACAAGGTTAAAGCCCCTTGTCTTAGATATGTATATTCCTCCCCGACACTCCACAGATACTGCCCTCGCCATGGACGCCTGGGCAGTGTGTGGATATGACTTGGCATAGTATTCTCACGCTGTCATTAATGCTCTTGACATCTGGTAATCTCTCAGACTGCGAGTGTCCAGTATTGGGGTGGGGCAATTGTGCAGAAACATAAAAAGTCAAAATCGAAACAGTTGACACTGTCTCTCAATGTGTGCCGCCAAATGGACACTCCAGGCATGCCTACCTGTCATCATCTAATAACACCCCCAGCATGATATTCTAGTCAATAGTCAGTGCATGTACACATCATCGTATATATCTCCTACACCGTCTCTGATGAGCTTAAACCCTAAACCACTCCCACACTGTCTTTAATGTGCGCTAACCCTAAACCCTAAACCCTAAAACCCCTCAAGATGGCGAGCGTTCAGTATAGCGGTGGGTGAATTGCGTATCATCAAAATCAAAGTGCAGATGTCGCACGAGGCCAAACTGACGCTTTATCTGAACATGTACAATCTGCTCATACTCCACGGATACGTAGTGCTGGGCATTCCCGATGGGCTCATGAAGCGAATCGACTTTTTCAAAGTAGGTGGTGATGTGAGCAGGGGGTGCATTTGCCTATGTAATATGCTGTATATGTGTACGTATATGTATATGTGTATGTATATGTATATGTATATGTAGATGTATATTTATATATTTATATGCAAATGTATATATATATGTATATGTAGATGTATATGTAGATGTATATGTATATTCATATGTACATGTACATGTATATGTAAATGTATGTGTACATGTGTGTATATGGCCCGTTCTAATAGTATTTTGTGTATGCGAACTATTTGAACCAAATACTGCGCTACAGCACCCGCCGTTGTTTGATCTACGGTGGTGGTTCAAACTGCTCCATTGGAGCGCGGAAGGGAGTGAGCTTCGATATAAGTCATATATTTCTTTACGAATATAAAGCATGTTCTGATTAAGGCCACGAATACCTACCACCTACTACCTACCCCACATATGCACACGTTGCTAAGGACGCTAGTATGTAGTCCGGTTGCCGCTTCCCTGCATACGTTGACTTTCACACATCTGATGGGACTTTGTATGTCCAAGGCTACTACACTGAATTGGTCAAAACGGTTAAACTTCGATCGACATAGCCTGCCATGCACGTGGGCAATTACACCAAACAATCGAACTGCTATTATATTATGGTCCGAGTGTTATATAATTTTTTCACTGTCCCCTACAACTATAAGTGCTTAGCTGCTTTTATATTTTCATCCCATACAGAAAGCAAAATACGAAATAGATGGCTTAACCCTGTCCGCTCTTGAGTTAGAACACGCGATACTCAGAGCCAAATCCAGCCCGCCTGACTTGGGTAAGTAGCGTTTCCACCTTGTTTGCAATACAAAGAGAGAGAGAGAGAGAGAGAGAGAGATATATATATATATATATAGTACTGGCACGCTCACTTGGTGTCTTTCAGATAAAACAATGTTTTAGTAGAGCGTACTACAGTCTCACTACCTCCCCTAGCCTCACACATTCTGGCCCTCAGACTTTTTCAATGTTGATCTACTTTCTTTTGTATAGGTATCCTTGGAGGATTCTTCTTAAGTATACCGAAGTACGGTTCGAAAAGTGCATACGGTCCCTTATTATTGACCCGTCCAGAGGTGCTCGTATCCTTTGCGCTATGGAATGGGGCCGTAGATGGACCTCGTCTGCCCGAGATATTCAGGGGCGAAACTGTCCACAGCCAACTTTTGCACTGTGCGAGGTAGGTTTAAACCCCATGTATAGAGATATACATGTATAGAGATATACATATATATAAATATACATATATACATATATATATTTCTGTACATGTATACATGTATATATACACGTAAACATGTGTATATGCATATATGAATATATGCATGCGAGTATATATGTGTTTATGCATGTATGTGCATATGTAATAATTTACGTATGTATGAATGTATATATGTATAATGTATATATGTGTATGTGTATATGTATATTATATGTGTATATTTGTAAATGTGCCCATGTGTATATGAGTATATGTGTAAATGCGTATGTGTAAGTGTATGTTCGTGTGTATGTATGTGTATACT